TTTCGATGTGATATTAAAGATTTCGGTATTGTGTGTCAATATATAATAGTGTAGGAGTGCAATATGTGAATATATATGAATTTGGTGATATGTCTCCCCCAAAAAATAATAAAGATTTGAGTGTTATGTGCGAGTATGGGTGTGAGATATGTAAATACATAAGAATTTTGTCCTATGTATGTAAATGTCTTAAATAAGTTTGGGTTAGCCATGTAATGTTTAGGCATTGTGCAGTTTTTTTTATTTTTTATTTTTATTTTTATTTTTTTTTTAATGTAAAGTTTAGGTGGTAGTCATGCATGGGCTCTCTGGCAACGGATTTAAGTATGACACATTGAAGTTTTACTAATTTATAGAGCTATATTTTATGATGCAGATGGATATCCAAAACATGATATCATGGATGTATAACAATTTATATCTAAGGCGAAAAGGACTTACTGACAGATTTTTGGTTGGTTTTGAGGAATTTGAGCATGAGGCATCGCAACTCCCTGTTTATCTTTCAGAAGGCAGTTTCTGATGCCCCTATCTGAAGCACAAGAATCAAACCTACTTGATGTCTGATGAAGTAAAGTTGGATCTATATCGTAAAGGATTTAAACCGTATTATTGGTATTAGACTTCACATGGTGAAATTGAACCAGATGTTCAGAACGGTCATGCTGAAGCATCATCAAGTTATGTCCCTCCAATGGTTCACAATTCTAGCATGTATGAGGAAATGACTGCCGATGTCAGTAGGACTCATTTTTTTGGAAGTGTTTTTGATGATAATTAAGAACCGAACAATGAGACAAAATAATTTTTTGAATTATTAAATGTTGCACAACATCATTTGTGGGAAGATGCACTTCATATATGGAGTTATCAGTTGCCCTGAGAATGTTGAGTATTAAATTTAATTTCAGTAGTATGCCCACGGAATGCTTCAATCGGGTAGCAGGATTATTAAAGGATACATACCTTGCAGATAATTTAATTTCAAAAGATTTGTACAAAACTAAAATGATAGTGTCAAAGGTAGGGTTGTTATATGAAAAGATAGATTGTTTTGTTAACGGATGTATGTTATATACAAGGAAGATGCACAGGAGACAAAATGCAGATTTTGCAATATTGAGAGGTTCAAATCAATGGGGCGAAAGAGAAAAAATAAGAAAAATATTCTTTACAAATGTCTCTTTTACTTTCCTCTCATTCTACAACTTTAGTGATTATTTGCTTCTATGAGTATAGCTCCTCACATGGAATAAGACTGGATTTGTTGTTGCTTACACAAAGACTCATTTTTCAGCTGGTGAAGCTTAGAAATACTTTGATTGAAGTTATCTTGAATTTACAGCAAAACTATGCAATGTTAATCTTAACTTATATGAAGATGGGTTCACACTTTATAGTCATGATGCAACACCCTATTCATGTTGGCCAGTTATTATTACACCATATAATTTGCCCCCTAATATATGTCTGATTGTTTCATTCTTATTTCTAACATAGATCATACCGGATCCACATAGTTTAAAGGGTAAAATTGACATGTTCTTACAACCTCTTTTAGCTGAGTTGCTGGTATTGTGGGGAAACCGGCTTATTGACTTATGATATTGAAATGAAATAAAACTTTCACCTTAAAGCTGCTCTTATGTGGACGATCAATCACTTTCTGGTTTATAGGATGCTATAAGGTTGGAGCACAGTTTGGAATTTGCCCTATCCCTACTCCTAGACATTTCCAAAGCATTCACTTTGAAGCATGAAAGAAAAAATTTCTTGTTTGATTGGCATCAAAGGTTCTTGGCACATGATTGCCCATTTCGGAGGAATAAATATGTATTTTTCAAAAATATAGTTGAAAGATCAAGTCCGCCCACAAAGATAAGTGGAAGTGAAATATTGCAGATGATCAGTGAAGTGTCAAAGATTATTGAGAGATCGGAACTAGCCTCTAGTCGTCTTCCAAATTTTGGCATTACATATAACTGAATGAAGCAGAGTATTTTTTGTGATGTTCCATACTTGAGGACAAATCTGATTAGACATAATCTAGATGTTATGCATATTGAGAAGGATTTTCTTAATAATATATTTAATATTGTTCTGGATATCATGGGAAAAATAAAAGACAACGTCAAAGCAAGATTGGATCAGAGAGAGTATTGCAAGAGGAGGGGGTAGAAGTGCAAGGGAAAAATACAGATAAAATAATAAAGCCCGAAGCTACATATTTTCTCATATTGGATTAACCAAAAATTATCTTTGAGCGGTTACATTCTTTGAAGTTTCCGAGCGACTGTGTTTCTAGCATAAGTTGATGTGTTGATATGAGAACGGGAAAATATTTGGTATGAAGTGTCATGATTGTCATATTTCCATGCAGTGCTTATTACCTATTACATTCAATGCCCTTCCAAAGCCTGTATTTGATCTATTGATCAAAATCAACACATTCTTCGGGGTGTTTTGTGCAGGCACTTTGAATGTTGATTCTCTTAGAAGTCTTGATGCGAGTATTACATCAATTTTGACACGAGTATTTCCTTAAATTTTAATGGAACTTATGAGTTTATGCATAGTTTTGAAATTGATTCTTTGATCAATTAAATAAAAATTTTCAAAATAGTATCATATGATTAGTCTTGTTTCTTTTGATCATAAGTTATTCACCTAGCATTTAAGTGACCCAATAACCCTAATATTGAATGATCTTCGGTTTCTTGAAACCCTCTAATTGAGATAACTGATTAACTATACACACGAAAAATTCAAAGATCATTTGACCTTTATTTAATATTTTGAAGATCTTAATCACACTTGAAGTGCTTTATTATAACTCATTTGTATCTCCTCAGACTATTTTTTGTGTCATTTCATTTATCTTACTGCGACATTAAATTTGGCTAGAAGTTTGGTAAAACCGAAATTTACATGATTATGAACTAGCTTTCCAAAGACTCAAAAACTACCCCACAATTCATGCTTCATTGGATTTATTTTCTCATGATGTATAATTATGTGCAAGCAATGTGCTATAGTTAGTAAAAAATCAAAAATAAAACAGTAAAAAATATTTGTATCATTTAATAATAATTATTATAATGGCCAAAAACTTTAAAAAAAAAATTCACAAAAAATTAAAGTTTGAGAAAATTTTCAAAAACCTTAAATCAAAGAAAAAAGATAATTAAGGAAATAATTTACCCTAGGAGTGAAAATAGGAAAGAATGTAATATAGAAAAACACTTATGAAATTATAAATACAAAACTTTGAATCACATAACTTGCATTTTTTTTCCCCACACAGCTCAAATTCTTATGGAGAACTTGTAGACACAATTTGATAGTTGTGGACAAAGAAAAGTGATGCAACATAGAAGTACTGTACTTATAATGATGTGTTAGGCCAAATTCTATTTCAAGGAGATGGCCCAACCTCATAACCTTCTCATTTTGGTTCAAAATTCAAATAGTTGGTCCGGCCATTAGCCCAATAGACCAATACTCTACAACACCTTTAACCATTAGTCATATTCTAAAGTTAGAATCCTATGGTTATTTAGTATCCTTAACAGATGGGCATAATTGAGACCTGGCGACTTGCACTTCCTCTTCACATGCAACACATGCTTGCCCCCTCTCACGTCATAATAAGGTATGCACGGGAAGGAAGTTTGAGATCCCAAGTTAAGAAAGTAGTTTTCCTATGGGATGAAAAAGAAAAAAAACCGTTTTTTTTTTTCTAGATTATGAATATTCACATGCATACCACACAATATTCATATGTATTTACAAGTGTAACATCTAAATTTCAATTTTTATGTACATACCACCTTTACTATGTATGAAAAGGTGTATATGTTTCACTTTTTCTATGTGATATGAAAGATTTGGTCGGTGAAAATGTAAAAAGGCAAACTTTATGTCCTAGATGTGTAAATTGTTGTGAATATGAAAACGGTTTCACTGCTTGAATTGATATTTTCTCATGTTCGGCAGCAAATTGGATTTGATACTCGAAATTAATTGCTGAATTAATTGTTCTTAATTCTTTCTATGATTTGATGCAGAAGAGAGAAGAAAATAATTAATTTGTTTCATTAATTATTTGATTAAATTATTTAATGGGCCTAATGACATGATGAATCTAATAAATAGGCATGCTAGCTCTCATTATTATCCCTCTTCGGCATTGGTAGCTTTCCAGGATCTTCTTCTGGGGTGCTTCGGTTTGAAGCTCTCGGGTAGAGAGAGAAGAAGAAGAAGAGGAAGAGAGGAGAGAGAAAGAGTGTTTTCTTGTAATCGTTGAGGTGATCAACGGGTGTTATTCCTCAATTAATAAAATCCTCTGTAGCTCCTTGGACGTAGACAATCTGTCGAACCACGTAAATCTGTGTGTTTCAATTATTTTCAATTTTACGATTCTTCTCGATCAGATTTTTCTCTTTATTGTTGTCGTTTTTGCACAACATAAATACATAGAAATTGGGCGACATACATGCAGATGCTCCGTGCAAGAATTATACATGATAAAGAAAGACAGTCTGAATATTTCACAAAATATTTCTTCTTTAAATAAAAACATTTAAGATAATTATAGAGAGTTTTCTTTATATGATCTTAAATTTGAGAAAAAAATTCATATAGAATTCACTCAAAAAAGTAAATAAAAATAAAATAAAATTTACGCAAAGCTTTTTTTTCTTCACCTAATTGATAAGAGCTTACGCAAAATCCCAACGATCAAGCGCGGCCATGAAATTTCTTTCGGCCGAAGCCACCCTCTTATACTTTTATTCTTTAGTTCCGAGTCATGAACAGTAACAAAACAATTACATTGACGAGCAGTACAGATAATCCAATATTAGGCACAAAATATTCGAATGATGCATGCATGGAAAACTTTGTACGTCAGAACATTGAAGCCAAACTCTAATAACTTTTTGGTGTGTATAAATATTAAGCCAAGTTTGATGATTTTGCAAAGTGCCCGTTGGCTTGAATTGAACACTAAGGCCAATGGCTTCCCCTTTGTTTCGCTTTTGCTGCTGCTGCTGCTGTTTCTTCTTCTTCTATTGTGTGGTTTTGATTTCTTGGGGTGCGGAAGCAAACCCAAACTACAGCGATGCATTGGAAAAATCCATTCTGTTTTTTGAGGGCCAGAGATCTGGAAAGCTTCCTGCAGATCAGAGGATCAGATGGAGATCCGACTCTGCCCTCACTGATGGCTCTGCGGCCAATGTAAGCTTTATACATGCATACGCACAAATATATAATATATATATATACATACATGCATACATATACCTATACATATATCTTTATATAAATATTAACTGTTAAGTACTTTACATGATTAAAAAAGCTAAGATTTTGACCCAACTAATATATGAGGAGCTTTTTATTAGCATAGATGAGTACTGAATTAACATTTCATGTGAGACAGAGCAAGGGGAGTTCTCTAAAATATACAAATTAGAACTTCAAGAGGATAGAGGATTTAGTTAAAATTTATGGGGAATTCTATAATATAGACAATTGTATGAAAATTTAAGTGATAATTGTATAAAATATCTTTAAATCAATGAAGGAAAGTTTCACCCTTAATCCCCTGAGTTCAACGACCTGTAAAATTAGTAAGGAATTATTCTGTAAATGGCCTTCCTATTTAATTTCAAAAAATGGAAAAAAAAAACTAACCTTCCTATTATTTCATTGATTCACTGCGAAATCCCGTAATAACTGTTTAATACTATGGACTTAAAAGGTCAAAGTGTCATTTGACGTGTACGAAACTCTAACTACCTTGCTCTTCTTGCTATTATTTAACAATAGTTTAGCTCAGATTTAAATTAAAAATAATGTTAATTAATGAGTTAGAATTTTTTGTATTAATGTTAATATAATAAAGTATATGCACTTTGTAGCTATGAAAAAAATGAGCATATTTAATTTTTTGGAATTTAAATAGATTACATAGCCTATTGGTTGGAGTCAAAATATAGAATCCACAGATATCAAGTAACAAAATTATGTGTCATTTTACAGAAAAAAAATTTTACGTCCAGACGTCTTTATGTTTGAACGGTCAACTGCCAGGCGTCACATTGCCCAACGCCGGCTTATATGACGACGTGGCGCCCGGTGGATGGTCGTCCGGACGTAAAATATTCTCCAATTTACACAGAAGAAATACATTTATGCATGGTGTTGTGGCCTAATATCCATTAAAATTGACAACAATTTCCCTTCAGAGGAAATACTATAAATTTTACACTAAATTACATTTAGTGCATATACATTCATATATTAGTAGTAAATTAAATATATGACATTTTAGGAAAAGGAAAATGGCATCAATAACTCAAGCGATACATTACATGACATGTGTCCATAATCATTAACAACATTAAATTTAAACAACTTTTTTTCATATTTAATAAATTATTATATTTTGAACCTATATTTATATGGCATATAGTCAATATACAATAAATTAATATTATTCTGCCAGGCCCATGAAGTCGGAAATGTGCCGAAATTAGCTTGTTTAGCATCCCTTAATTCATTAACTAAACCAATTCGATCAGCCCCGTTGACTTCAACTCTTTTCGCGTAAATGTCGCCGTACTTTAATATATATATATCTCTTTTACTTTCCT